TTTAAAATGTAAAATTAGTGTTTCGTGTAAATGACTGGCTGCATGAAAATGGTATAGGTAGAGTAATGTTCCAAAAATGTTCCATTACATGCGGTTACGTTAAACCACCTCCCTAGAATTCGAGCTATCTAACGTGTGTCATGTCTGGTCAGCCACTCCAAAAAACGTTTTTGACTTTTGCGTTTTGTATTGGCCCAGTCAAAGTCAAAGGACAGCTTATTACATCCGAAATTGTCGCAATACTGGGATAGCGTTTAAATCTACTAAAGTTTTCCAAACATTTTGATTAACAGAAGAAGGGGTGAACAATAGGCTACATGCCATGCGAGACAATTTTTTGGAATGGGAACATGAATAAGCAAATTGCGCAACGCGATAGCTCCCCGAAAATTGATAGGCTGAATTACTTTGATCACATCGGATAAAAGAGGCCATGAACTACGTTTTACGAATTAATACAGTAGGCGCCAGAATTCGCGCAACACGCCGACATATGCGAAAGACTGATACTCTTTCGTTAATCGGCATTGACTCAGGTTGTGATACAGATTATCGTGTGATCTTTTCTGAAATTAGTTCAGTCATGATAGGATGCGGGCTTTTTAATGAGCTTCGCTCTGACCACTAACAAAAGCTATGTACTGTAAAAACTTATTACTTAAAGAGTATGCGCCTCTATCATTGATTTCGACTGCCTTTATTAATTCACATACATTTTATGGAAAACATGCACGAAAAAATTATTTCTTGTACTCGTTTGATAGCAAATTACGTCTTCTTTAAATTTTATACTTAAAGAAAGAATATATCTCGTTGTTTGAAAAATTCCTAATTATGAGCTTTTTACGATTGTGAGGTGTCCATTCATAGTACATCGTATCCGTCAATACATTAATGCTGTCTTTAGTGTATAAAGCATGCTCTACATATATTGCAACATTTCATGAGAATTATGTGACATCTTCCTCAAAGTGTAGGCTGAAGTGCACTTTTCTATAAACAGCATGTACACATTGCGCAGTTTGTAAACCTTGAATACAAGTGTAGCAATCAATAGGTTTCAAAATTATTCGGCAATTTAGAAACTTTTTTTTAAAACCGAAATATACACATTCTCTAGGTATAGGATTCAAAGTAGGCGTAACTTCCTACCAAATGAGCATAAGAAAAAGTTTTCTCTGCATGTTTTCTATATAATATATTTGAATTTGTAAAGGCGATCAAAATTAGTGATAAAAATGCATACTACAGTAGATTGCTTATCTGATACAAGGTTGGGGATTGGAGGATTTAACGCACACTTGAGGTTGTTTAGTTAGTTCATTGGGTTAAAATGGGTCGCAAATGTTGTTTACTAGAATTTACTTACGTTCAGATCATAATACTGGGAGAAATAGAGGCAAAAATGGGCGAAATCCAGCGTTTGTTGATATTCGAGGAATTTCCTATGCTAT